TCTATTGTGTTTTGCAACTCAGTCTCTGCAGATCGCATTGTAATGGCTGCGTCAAGGTTGCTTCGTGCTGCGGCTGCATTTGTAATACTATTGTCTTTAACAGCTCGACTTCGTAAATCGTATTGGAGTGGCTGCATGAAGGCTGCCACAGTGATTTGTCAGCAGATTTTCTAATTTTGGCGCTAGTGATTTTCCTTCTAAACATCCTTTTAAAAAGTGCTTCAAAATCATCTTTTTTTCGCTCTGGCGCCGAGATCCGGTTTTGGAGCTACAATTTCCGACGCCGTTGCGCGTAGTTCTATTGTGTTTTGCAACTCAGTCTCTGCAGATCGCATTGTAATGGCTGCGTCAAAGTTGCTTCGTGCTGTGGCTGCATTGGTAATACTATTGTCTCTTGCAGCTCGACTTCGTAAATCGTATTGGAGTGGCTGCATGAAGGCTGCCACAGTGATTTGTCCGCAGATTTTCTCCATTTTGTCGCATTAGTGTTTTTTTGTTCCACGTAGGTTTAGAGCAGTGTGAAGTGTGGGGCGTAAAGAGTGCAGTGTGAGGTTTGGAGTGTGAAGGAAGCAGTGAGAAGTGAGAAGTGTGAAGTGCGGACTGTGAAGTGTGAAGTGTGGAGTGTGAAGTGTGAAGTGTGGAGTGTGAAGTTTGAAGTTTGGAGTGCGAAGAGTGCAGTGTGAAGTGTGGAGTGTGGAGTGTGAAGACTTTGCTTCGTCTCTTGCTGAAAAAAAAACCGCTTGTCGAGGGAAGGACACGGTCGGGACAGGTTGTCTTTGAACTATAGGTCATTTATGTTTGGGAAACTTCCGCCGCCGGCTTGCCCGGGTCTATGTTAATAGCAGTTTTATGCAATTTTGGGGTATATCACATCATATCCCATGTCTGGACACCCACTTTGAAGCCTCACGAATTGTACTCTACACATGCAAAAATGAAGATGTTAGCAACAGAAACGAGAGCTTTGAAGAAAGAACATCTGGTTGGTGGTGCAATAACCATCTTGAAAAATGATGGAGTTCGTCAGTTGGGATGATGACATTCCATTCCCAACTGTTTCTGGAAAGTCATTCAAAATTCCATGGTTCCAGTCACCACCAACCAGATATTGGATTGTGTCCAACTGGCCAATGGAGGCTTGACGGGGATTTTCGGTTCACCAGAGATTCTGTGGCGCTGACGGGCACCTGGTGCCTTTTGAAAAGGTTGGGACATGTTCATATAAAAATCAGACATATGGGCCATGGGTACATATCGCTGCATATAAATACACACATACAGATTTTACTTGACAGAGGTTTTACCCATAGTTTTCATGCTGAGAGTTGGGCTGAACACGTGTTTTTCTCATCCATTTTTTCAGGTGACATCCCCCATCCACATAGCAACAAAAACAAGTAAAATTTTCTTCACATATTTCCATTGCTGTTGATATCCCAACATATCCCAACATTTGTTGCTTTAAATCACTAATCACTATGGATGGGATACCTATCAACCTAACATTCACCCAGCAGTTGGTTTACCATTTTTTTTGTTGCTGCTTTACACCCCCATTCCGTCCATTCTTGATGGTGAAAAACATTCCTGAAGTTCTACCCAGTGTTCATCTTTAGAAATCCAAGGTAGCCAGTGAAATCTGTTTTAATTACCTATCTATTTTTAGATGTTCGCAGATATTTATTTGGTTCCCCTAAACCAAGGTTCAAACAAATTTGTAATGCTTGCAACTCGATACATGAAGGTCAACCCCAGAATTTACGCGGAGCATGAGAATATATGAGAATGTTACCACTAAAACAAATACTTTACAAAGGGTTCGAAGGGTGTGAACAAACATAAATTCATCGATGATGATGTTGATGATGATGATGATAATGATGATGATGCTCGCCAGCCATTTGGAGCCATAGTCATATGGCTTTGCCCGGCCACACGAAAAAACGCGAAGATGAACTACATCATGTATCTAGGATGTCTAGAGGAACCAATGTTTTTGGGTCATTTAAGAATTCATTATCAAACCTGAAGCAAAGACCATAAAACTAATGATTTGCCTGTTACTTTAAGCATCATCGATGGGGTCGAACATGAGGTCGCTGAAATCTGGTGCAGTCGAAACATGTGACATATTCCTCCCATTCACCAACCATTCACCAATGGGTCTTTTTTCCCGCCCAGGATTGACCCACAGCACATTAAAACGGGGAAACCAATGGTTTGGGTTCCCCCCCCCATTTTAGGAAAACCTATGGAAAAACCCCAATCTCTAGATGATTTGCCTTTTTCATCCTTTTTCTACTACTCATCTGGAGGTTTCCTGAAATAGGGTACGCCCAAAATCATCCATTTATAGATGGATTTTCCACTATAAACCATCCAGCTGCAGCTATTGGGGTACCCTTCATCCCACCATTCGCAGGGCGCCTCCATGTGTTGAAGTCGCTTGCGTAACAACGCGTTCTCGAGCTTCAGCGCCTGGCTTCCGCAGGGAAGAGTAGACCCATGTAAATTTTTCACCCTTACCCTCTGGCAAACTAACATTTGGCTATTGAAAATGGCCATTTATAGTTTATTTACCTATGAAACATGGTGATTTTCCATAGTTATGTGACAGTTTACCAGAGGGTAACTAACTTGTGGTTTCCAGTCGTTCCATCCATTTCGGAGAAGTCCCCAGTTGCACCTCTGCTTGCTTCTCCATCACAGTGAACCTTGGAAATCGTGGGGCCAACCATGAAATCAGTGCTGTGCTATGGGGCCGGCTGTTCGACATCCCGAAACCAGAGTTTTACCTATTATAAAATGATGGTTTTTCTTCACCATGGTTTTTCACTGCTTCCTGCAGTTACTGTAATCATGCTCCATATCATTACTGGTGAAAGTCTCGCGTCACTTAAGAGGCCAGCGAAGGTGATTGCTCCGTTTCTTGTTGGTGAACACCACAGTTCAACCCCAAAGACATCTTTTCAAGAAGTGTCCAAGGACATAACAAATCACAATTTTTATAGGTGGTATGGTTACCATTCCCAAATGGGCGGTTTATGACACTATTTTACCCACATTACTTTACATTTTCAGCCTCTTTCCTTGGTGCGAGGTGTGCCCACCGCCCGGTCGGCCAAGGGTGGACACTCAACGCTCACCGTCCCCAGCTCTCCATTTTTGTTGGGTCAGGTCGCCGATGTTTGTTGAGTCCCCCATATTTGCAGGTTTCCTGAGTCATGGGGGTAGCCCTAAATCATCCATTTTAGGATTTTCACTCAAAAAACAATCCAGCTATTGGGGTACCATTTATGGAAGCCTCCATATTTAAGTTGGCCAACAAACAGTTTTTGATGAGCCCTGCATTTTGGTTTCCCACAACAAATGATAGACAGCTAGGCAGATGGATAGATAGCTTAGATAGATAGCTTAGATACCCTCTGGTTATGACTAACATAGCCATGGTATAGATGACCCATAGAAATAGATGGTTTCCCTATTAAACATGGTGATTTTCCCATAGAAATAGATGGTTTCCCTATTAAACATGGTGATTTTCCATGGCTATGTTGAACAACCAGATGGTAGCTCAGATAGAGACAGTCCACCAAGGCACTTGCTGATGGCGGGACCTTCTTTCTGCGGACTCGTGAAGTCCAACGCGCCGAACCTCGATGTGCCAACGAACATAACCCGGGGGGTTATAAATCCCAAAAAAAACTTGGTACTAACTGGACATAGATGCAGATAATGGATTTGTAAACAACCTTATAATCTTATAACTGGGGCCTCGCCTGGTTATCAATGTGAAACATGGTGGTTTAAGCATGTTTAAGCATCAAACATGGTACGTAGCCAAAATATCCTAAAATTAAAGACCCCCCAATTGCGGAGATCGAATACAGAACGGGTTTTGTTTGGGGGATATTTAAAATCAGGGGGAAGCGAAAAAAACATCTATGCGGATCTCAGAAACGGTTAACTCGACGAAATAAAGCGAAGAACTTTAACCGTTGATATCTAAGCCTAAGCCTAGTATGGATCTTTTTTCTTTTGGGTCCCATATTTGATCAATGAAACCTTCAAAATGGACCCCCCCCAAAAAATCAATACACCACTGGGAAAGTGATTGATGTTGGTGAACCCAATGCCAGAACCCATTTCTGGCAAAATCTTGGATGGTTTATTGGGGATGACTCAAGCTAGGAACGATGCTTCGTCACCAGATCAGATTGGGCTAGCACCGCCAAAAATGAGCCTGGCGGGCTCTATACAACTTCAGTTACTGACATCTTCGCACAGTTTCTGGGAAAATGATGCTCTGCTAAATTCAATCAAGACTGCCCCCAGTAAATAGGGAATCCATGAACCAGAGTTAATTAGGTTTTCATCATCTTTCTCGGAACCACATCCATTTCACACATCTGACATGGATGATCGTGGCAAATCTGGTGAATCCTTCTGGGATCATTCCTCTGGACCGAAAATGATCCAATGGTCACCACATTGGCGCGCCAAGGAACTCTTTTTCGATGGGAAACTGAGTGTCTTCTTCCTGGCATCTGATGTGGCAAACATTGGCAAACCGAAACCACCAAAAAGCGCTTGCAAGGAACTTATACCCTCTGGTAAACTGTCACATAGCTATGGAAAATGACCATTAATAGTGGACTTTCCCATTAAAAATGGTGATTTTCAATAGCTACGTTAAATTACCAGAGGGTAACTGATAACCAGTGTATTACCCCCCAAAAATCATCAACCACCAGATCTAAGGTGATGCTCTCCCGTAAGGATTCATCGATTCAGAAGGCGCCGATTTGCTAGCCATTAATGCTAACAGCAAACCATGCATATTTTCATGGTATACCAGCAAAATGGTTGGTGAAAATTACATTGCAAAATTGGGATGAATCGGTTGATGTTGAAAATATGATAGTTCACCAGCAAAATTGATGATATTTTTTTGGGATGGTGAATTTTTTTTGAAAGTTACAAAAACATTGCACTAGAAAAAAACCACAAATCCTGGTTTTCCAGCGTCAGGGATCATCTTGATATGGAAGAACCTGAAAAATCCTTCCACAATCCCCGTGGGTTTCCCTCCGGAAAATCCGGAAAAGCTGACCATTGGCAAACCACCCCATTGGCCATGGATCCCCCTCGGGTGGACACCTGAGTCGGCTGAACCACATTTTTTGGCCGGGCTTTTGTTACCAGTCGCGAGCCGTTGACAACTACACAACCTTAATTCCTTTGCCCAATGAATTTGCCAAATCTCCAAGTTGATGGCTTTGTAAGCTGGGTATCCCTAGCATGGAGCATAAGAATCCCCAATAACGGAGTAGTATCACTTACAGAACGATTTTGGCAGTTAAATCCGCTATAATAAGCAACAGGGGTTGCTAACTGTCCCGTACTATGGACTATCAACTCCACAATAAATTTAGTAGTATAACTCCCTGTATTAACCAATCAACCAAGGTATTTTGTTCATGGCTCAAGGCTTCCGTTCCCTCGCCTCCTTCGCTCCCCGAGGGCTCAAGATGAAGCTCCAATTGGCCTTGTCCTGCCACAGTCGTGTGCAACATATTCAATGGCCAACAGGAACCGATTTATTGGAGGTATCTACGATGTTTTTAAAGCCTATTTTTTAGGGCTCAATTTCAGGGATACAAGATGTAGGCTTATATGGTACTAACGTATCTCCATTTTAGAGTCCTGATAATTCCACCTGGCCAGAGTTTCGCAGTGGATGGTGTGGGGTAGCCATTTTAGGGTCCCAACTGGAGGATTTCACCTTGAGATTGTCGTGGAATGATGGGTGTTATCATGGGTATATCATCAACAATATATAGGGGGTATACCATATGATATAGGGGGTATACCATATGATATACCATATGATATACCCCCTATATCATGGGTATAACATCAATATATATATATATATCATCAATATGATATAGGGGGTATGGTGATCCATCCATTATCCTTAGGATGGGTAAAAACACAAATCCACAAATCCACATGGAATGGATTGATGACAGTGCCCCAATATGGATATACTGTCTCCAACTTTTGAGGATGGTACATATGTTCAGGGAGAAGCATCCATCTTATGTTTTATGTTTTTTTTTTCAGATGCACAAATCGGATAAAACCAGAGTTTGATCCAACATGTCTTTGGATTTCACTGTCCATCATTTTTTTTGGGGGGCACTGATTTTGAGGCATAGCCCTCTCCCAGCGCCATTTTCCCATCCCACATTGCATAATCATTTGTTGGCATCCGTAGACTCGTATCCCCTCTCCGCGTTTCTAGACCTTTCTGAACATGCCATTTTATTATCAATTATCATAATATACGGTAAATTAATGTAAATTATCATATTTCACTGACCTGAATATCCGATAAATACTTCGGCCATTGGATCATTTCCCTATAAAAAAACCATGAATCCAGGCTTCGGCAGAAATGGGATCATCCACTGTTTTGGACCGGCTGAACCATAGCAAAATCGCTGGTTTTTTTCTCCCAGAATTTGGGGTTTCAAGATGTGTTACACCACTATTCTGTGTTAATACACATTTCGGGTTTCTATTCTTGTTTGTAAAGCCCCAAATGTCTGTTGAACTCGCACCATGCAAGGCATGCGCTACCTGTGGAGGGAGGGTAATGGGCAAGTGCCGGGACTCCTGTGCCGCAACGAGCTGCGAAACCTCCTATGACAAACGGTGGTAAACTGGACCTTAGTTCTATCTTTTTGAGATTTCTGTATATCATTATATATTTATATAATTCTATGTATCTAGACATACATCCGTAATATATATATATATATACAAAATATGTATGTATGTATGTATGTATGTTTGTATGTGTGTATGTGTGTATGTATGTATGTATGTCTGTATGTCTGTATGTCTGTATGTATGTGTATGTGTGTATGCGTGTATGTGTGTATGTGTGTATGCATGTATGTATGTATGTATGTAAGTAATGAAAGTAATGTATGTAATGTATGTAATGTATGTAATGTATGTCTGTATGTGTGTATGTGTGTATGTGTGTATGTGTGTATGTGTGTATGTGTGTATGTGTGTATGTGTGTATGTGTGTATGTGTGTATGTGTGTATGTATGGGTGCATGCATGGATGCATGTATGCATGCATGTATGCATGTATGCATGTATGCATGCATGTATATATATATATTATCATAGAGATATGATAGCCGATCATAAGTTCCTGAACATGTGGCTTTATTGACCGTATATCTAGATATCTATGTGCATCTGTACGTATTGATAGGGTCGATCAATTGGGACAGATCAGTTGGGTTCCAATCCAACCCGGTTCAACCAACCAAACATCGGGTTAGATCAACTAAGCTGTAGGTTTTACTAATCAAACCTTGGAATTGCATTAACATAATTTGGGCTTCAACATGCTTAAACTATCACCCTGAGCACTGGTTAGAAATGCGGATTTGTAGCTTTCCCAAGATTGAACGCTAAGTATAGTGTGCTGCAACAGAGCTAATGGCAAACGGTAGCAAGTCTGCAAGAAAGCGAATTCGGGAAATCAACTTCTTCCCCATCGGGGATGAAACACAGATGGACTGATTCATCAAACTTTATCCAGAGCCAGAATGATCTCCCAGATGGTAAACATAATCATATTACCATCTGGGAATCAATATCATTATACATATTGTACATATTGTGATATTAATAATAGTGATCATCTTCCTATTCTACATATCACTATCATTCCTCTTCATGTGGGCTTTTACCCGAAGAATCTCCCAGTCCCACTCCACCAAAACTTCGGACCTTCGCTTGGCGCAGTTGGGTGATGACTGTCTGCCTGATTTGCCAAGTGCTTTGAGGAAACATCACGCGTTTTCCCATCCAAAATATGCATATTCCTGTATATTTTCTTGCCCATGTGACATCTTGGTCACTGTATGTCGATGGAAAACAAGGCAGGCGAATTTGCAGACATATGAGAATTGTCAGTTTGACCCATCAGTGTCATCAGACTCGAACAACCATCGAACCGCAGATCGGCTGGTATAGGAGTAAAGGACCCATTGTTTTGGGGCTGGAAGCTGACCTAGTGTCAAACGAATCCACAATGATTGCTCTCATGACTGACCGTATTTTTAGTTTTCCCATGCAAACTTGGATCTGCATCCGATCAAAAATTGGGCAGCATATTTCTGGTTTCTGGTTTTACCACCAAAAAAAACATTAGCCATTTGGGATCACCATCCTGATATGGTTGAAAAACAACTTTGAAATTCTACCAACCAGTAGCATCACTATTCAGGGCGAACCACCTAGCTGAAACGGAGGTTTCCTAAGTCATGGTACCCCCAGTCATCATCCATTTATTGATGGATTTTCCACTCACCGTCCAGCGAGAAAGGGGTAACCTCATGGCTGAGATGGGACGACCCTCCATCATATCCCAAGGCGTGGTTTTCTCCCGCAACAAAAGGCTGTTTCTGTTTCTTAAATCCATCCATTTTTCTCTTCAACTCTATTCAAATTTTGTGGTTTCCAGCAAAAATATGGTCAGAAGCCGACTTCTTGCTGGTTGATTCACCAGTTTTGGTGTGGTTCCAACATGTTTCTTGAGATTTTCACAATTTTTTCAGCTCCAACCGAAAAATTCAGCGACAAGCGAAGCGACCCTTCGTCGTTCCAGGCTTCGGTGCTCACCTTAGAAGATTGGACATCAAAAATCAGTTCAGCTCACCAATTATCCAGTATTTGGTGCTGGAGACACGCTGAAAAACATCTTCACCAAGCACTCGGATTTCTCTTCTACGCCAGCCCCGGTGAAACACCACTGGCTTGCTGAGTTTCCGTGCCACAAAGATGGCACCATCCTCAAAGCGCCAAATGTCGGGCAGATCTTGGGATGGGCAAAATATCAAAATAGGTTTGCTTATGCTTGCCATTGTTTACTCTTTGGCTATTTAACATAGCCATGGAAAATGGCCCATTTATAGATGATTTTCCCATTAAAACCTCCATTCATAAGGGATTTTCCATGGCTATGTTAAATAACCAAATGGTACCAACTGGTTATTTAACAGAGCCATGGAAAGATCCACCCATTTTTAGTAGGTAAACCATCTGTAAACGGGCCATTTTCCATGGCTATGTTAAATAACCAGTGGGTACCCCTAATGATGGCCGGCTATTTTCGAACCACAACTTTCTTAAACTGAGGAAAATATGGGTTCACATGACAAAAATAAACCCCAGTTCTCAGTTGGAGCTGGCTTGCTGTACCGATTGCTTCCGTGGAGACCCATCACTGCCTATGGGTAGTATAAATATATGCGTATATACATGTTATACTAACTACAAGATTCAATATCATTTATATCAATATATATATATAATATTTTTATATTATATATTATATATAGATTATAATCTATACATATCAAGGATGGATTATCAAACCTATTTTCAGACCAACCTTTCACCGCTTCACCTTTCAACGGCCATTGCTGGCCTGGACCGGTAAGGAGATCCATCGATTTCGCACCGCGGCCTGCCAGGGACATTTCTCCCCTGAGCAATGGAGACTCAGCAGGGAGAATCTGGGGAATACCAGGGAATATGATCATTCCAATGGCATAGATGGGAATAAATTCCTGATAGGATGATTCAATGGATTGGTTTAAGGGAAAATTTAGAGGAAAGCCCCATATTTAATGGGAAAATCTGTGGTTTCCTGTAGATTTTCCCTTAAACCAATCCATTGAATGATGGAAATATGATAGGAAAATATGTAAGGCAAGATCCATTCTGAGATTTTTCCATAGACGTTGCAGTGGGCTCCGGAGAAAGATGATCTAAGATGCATGTAGACACACATGGAGGTTTCCATACAGGGGGTGCCCCAAAATTGTTGGTTTATAAGGGAGAATCCTATTAGACTGGATGATTTGAGGGTACCCCATTAAGGAAACCTCCATATGGCTATGAGTCAAAATGTCAAAACTCTGGTACCCCGTGAAGGAAAAAAATGCTGGTGAATGGGTGTTCATCCCACGATGAAGAAGAAGAAGGTAGTCGGCTGCAGCGTAACTCGCGCTCGCAGCCAGCAGTCGCAGGGAGGGCACCCAATTTATGGTCATTTTAAGAGAACCATTATGATACACTGTAAGTGGGGAAGATCGTCATATTTGAGTGTGGCTCTAAATTTTCAAGCCAGTACCAGATTGGGAAACAATCTTATGTTGTTACTGAAACATGAACTATTCAAAATCGCCTGGTTGATCGGTTGTTACAGGGAGTTCTACTGCCTAGGCTATTGAGGATGATGTGATCTTTCAACTAACCCATAGGGAAAGCTATCAACCAACTAGTCATGAGCTAGATGAATTTTGAGTGACAATGTTTCATAAATCTGGCTGAATCTCACTTTGGGACGGTCTCCACCGAATGAAAAAATAGAGGTGATGTGGGCATTGCTTGGCAACTTCTCGGATACTGATGGATGCCCCTAACTCCAATGGCAATCATTCCCATTCACATTGCTATTTCACACATCCATATCCTATAGGAAAAACTTGGAAAACATCTTCCAGAGCCTCTTTTTGATTCCACTCGATGATTCTATGCGCCTCCCACACATAGGCAGACTTCTTCTCACTGGGATCTTCGCAAAAGGCGCTTCGATCCTTTAGAAACTTGTACCTTAGCACGAGGACCCACAACTGGGAACTGGGGAAGATATGGCGAACCTTATTTCTGGTTAGTATATATGGTTACAGTATGGGTCAAAACTTGTGACCAGGAAACCACATATTTTCGCAATTTTTTGTAGCCTAAAGTTTGATTGTTGATCATCGTTATGGGGTTAAATATCGCATTTCTGACAAAATCATATCATAGTGTGGATTGCATCCCACTCTATCTCACTATCTCCCCCATGATGGTTCCTTGGTATTGCCAGATAGATCCTCATCGCTGGGAGAGAACGCCCTTGATACCCCCACAAACAAAAAAACTATTATATCCCATTGAATCCCATTTTGATGGCTTTTAGGTGGTGATATCCACAGCAAATGGTTGGACAAACAGCACCAGTGAAATCTGCTCAGCAAATCAGGCCTTGTTGGCGAAGAAACCCCCCGACCGCGACCCAGAGGCGGCGCCGAGGAGCTCAAAACAAAGGCTGGCTTTGCCATCGGGGCGCACCTTCGATGGATCTTTAGGGATGGTAAATAGATTGCTGGGCTGTGATACTAATGGGAATGTCATTTGGATATCACCAATGGGATGTGGGTGATAACATGGTCAATCCTTGGTAGCCCACAAAAAAAACATATTTTTGTTTGCTGGTTATGGTTAGTTCCCATTTATAGAAAAAAACTATCCAGGATGAGTTTCTACTCAGTCAGTGATGCATTTGGGATTTCACCACCGCATGAGGATATCATGGGCCAATGCCATCCTAACTGAAATGGGGGTCGACTGGGAATTGCGAAAGCTGGGGGCTCCAGTTGTGTGTTCCTCGACTGGATACGCAAGATTCAAAATAGGACATGACTGGCATGTTCCTGCAAAGATGCAGCTAAGAGTTACTGGTTGGTGGTATACCTACCCCTCTGAAAAGTGATGGAGTTAAAGTCAGTTGGGATGATGACATTCCCAACTGAATGGAAAGTCATAAAAGCCAGGCTCCCAAGAATCCCATGAAATGGTCGAACGCAGCCATCCGAAAAATCACTTTTTGGTGGTAAAAAAATACCATTGCTTTTGGATCGTTCAATGTCCTAGAATCCCATGAAATCCCTGTTAACCCAGATTTTGGGTTAACCCCCATCCATTCTTTGACAGTACACTCATATCTTCTATCCAACTTCATTTCTGGTTTAAGTCTAATTTTTCATCGTTACATAATTACGACGAAATCATATCAAATCCAAATTCGCGAACTCCCCCATTTTTGTTGGTTACTCTCTGGTAATTTAACATAGCGAACTGGAAGCCATGAAAAAAACATAGTTCGTTGATTTACCTATTAACGATGGTTTGGTTGGTGGTTTCAACCCCTCTGAAAAATATTAATTAGTCAGTTGGGATTATTATTCCCAATATATGGAAAAATAAAAAAATGTTCCAAACCACCAACCAGGTGATTTTCCAGTTCGCGAACTCCGAGAACTTGGTCGACGCCGACCTCTGGTTCCAGCCAGATAGCAGCTCCACTGCTCCAGCGAGGGTACCTGCCACCCTAAAGGTTTCATCAAAAATTGAAGTTTTAATGGGAAAACCATAGGAAAACCATAGGACCATAGGAAATATATGGACATCCTCTATAAATGGAGGGCGATAGTTCGCTGGGAAAAGTCAACAGTGTTGGAGTTTCCAGCGTGCCATGCTTGATTGCTATATGGGTTGTAATACTTGCGCACCCCTTCTCACCTCACAATGTCAGTGAAATTCCTCAAAAACGTTATCAAAAAGAATGAGCTATGATCATACAGGATGGGGCCCCCAGTGATGTGAACGTTGGTTCATAAACCATGAAATAACCTCCATGAACTAGTTGGTTATATCTACCAGAGACCATAGAATTCAGCCATCAACAGGGATTCCATCATTCAGCCTGTTAGAGTCATGCCGTTTCGGCCTGACCGGGTGAAAAATCCTGGTGAATCATCGGGCACGGTGAAACTTCTTGGGTTTAACCAGCAAAAATCACATGACTCGAATATGACTTGTATCATATTTCTACAAAACTTGACCATATCTACATTACTCTATATAACCAGGAGCACGGCCTTTAGAAGGCCGTGGGGTTTTTAAGTGATCAACGGGGTGTCATGGATCATGTTCGATGTGCTCGTGCCAATAGGATTTTGTTTGATGTGATTTTTAACAACTATATTACCGTATATATATATATAATGTTGGCTGCCTAATAATAACCCCTCCCTAAATTTTTGAAAATTTTCATTTTTTTAGGGGGGGGTCAGCATTCCAATAGTAAATTCCTGGAACCCTATGGCTGAGATCATGATATGTATCTGATAGATTCTCCATGGTTTTGTTGGGTTTTTGATGGATTCTGAATGGATTTGGTTGGGTTTCTGATAGATAGGGTATGGATTTTGCATGGATTAGGTTTGGTTTCTGTTAGATTCTGCATGGGTTTGGTTTGATTTCTGAGATGTTCTGCATAGGTTCTGCATGGATTTGGTTTGTTTCTGATGGGATCTGCATGGAATCTGTCTGGATACTATACCATGCCCTCTGGACAAATTCAGAACATGAGTTTTTTGGTAATATTAAAATTAAATTAAGCTAATTGACTTTACTGGAGTTGGGAAGCCAAGATATTACTATTGGTTAGACAACATTATATATATATATATATCCATATCTAATATTATCACCATACATAGTAACCGTCCCCAGATCTCTGTCGTTTGGATCACCGTTTCGCATCCGTCTGCAAGCGCAAGTGGTCCGCGATGCCAACAATGCTCCAGGCACCGAGTCTGTCAGAACGGCTGGGCAAAAAACCATCAAAAGTGGTGGTTTTTTCAGGATGATTCACTTGCACATACCCTCTGGTAATTTAACATAGCTATTGAAAATGACCCATTTATAGATGGTTTTCCCATTAAAATGGTGATTTTCTATAGTTATGTTAGTTTACCAGAGGGTACATATATGCACTTCAGGAACGCTTTTTTATATACATTCACTTCAAACATCAAACACTTTTGGGAGCCCCACTTGGGAAAACAATGAAAATTGTTATTGGGAAAACAATCAAGTTAACTATCAAAAGGTGGGTGGGTTTTGTCGCACTAAAAAATGCGGTTGATGTGCTTTAAAACACCAAAAGATCCCTGAAATGGATATATCAATATATATATATATGATATATGTTTGAGGGGGTTGGATGGCCATAGCACTATAGGTTTAATGACCATATCTAGTAATTTACCTGTACAAGAATACGCATGTATACTGTATATACCTCCATGTATATATATATATACATACATATATGTATACATATATTTATATGTATATGTATACATATATGTATATGTATACATATATGTATATGTGTATGTATATGTATCTGTATATGTATATATATATATTGATATGTAAACAAATGCATGACAAACAGAGTATGGGGTTTGTCCTAAATCCATTGAGGTTAATCACCACTTTCCCTATTGCAAAACGGCTGGGGGCGCACTCCATTTGTGGTGGGAGAATGGTCAAGGCTTCGACTGAAACTTTCTAAAAAAACATGGCTTGTCCAGAAAACGGGCATATGCCGCATACTGCAAAAAAATCCTATATAGCCCATAGCACAACAATTCATACCACAATGAGATTTTCATGGGATACTATTGGATACACCTAAATCTAAAATTCTGGATCCAGAAATATCCAGAACCTATGCTTGATCGATGGCAAAAGCACTGGTTTCCTGTAGATTTTCCAGTATACTCAACGAAACTCGAAATCCCTCCGAGTTTTCCATTCACAGAGACGTTGGCCTGTCCAGATTTCCGCGCACGCAAATGCACTCTCCCGGCCTAGGAAACCATGGGGACTTTGACCAACAGAAATGGCACGGCACCAATGGAACTAGCGAATGTTTTGACAATCGACTTGCGGCTTCCAGAAACCCTCAAACAAATAAAAACATATTATATTTCCAATAGATTCCCAATAATAGTGAATTTCCCATTGGGAAAATCAAGAATCATCGACTGAGGATTCATCCCGGTCGACAAGTAAAAGTGGTCCAGCACTAAGGTTGACCAAAGATGATGAGCAACTGGAATCTGAATATAGAAAAACCCTATTGGAGGGATATTCAACAGGAATCTACCTCCATTTCCATTAAAAAGAGCCATACATTACATTACGTTACGACATGGATATAGTAGGGATACAACCGATACAACAGGATATCAACGATGAATTCTTGTTGAGTTCCCATGGCCAATTGAGGTACCCGTTCAACAGTCAATTTTTGGGCGGGATTTTCGAAGTAAAACCCTGTCATATCCGACGGTTGTTGCCAGCTGTGGTCCATGACATGGCGGGTACAGCTACAGCCAATAGTGGGAAAAAAACAGCAACAATGCACATGCAGCTGATATAAACAATAGTAGCATCTTGAAATAATTTTTACTATTTATCTGGAAAAGGATATTTCCATCGTCATTGTTGACTTCACCAGAATATTTGCAAGCAGCTGCAATTGGAACATCCAAGGCCAAAAGCGGCACATCGCCCAGCATCGACGAGCCGCTGGGTATCACAGTGTCGCAAATCAAAGAGGATGCCAACACGCACCATGCTTCGCCTGGTTTGGTGCTGCATTTCACCAACAAACGCAGTCGGCAGTTGGGGCAGTTGGCATCTTGCCATATTGGGCAGGACGGTGTCCGCATGACTGGCGCAAACGGAACACACCCAGATCCTTTGAATTCTAAAAAAAGCTTCGTCACAAACGGGATGATGGACCACAAGCAGCGTGCTATCCTTCTGGTTGGTTGCCTAATCCCTTCTCCCCAATCGATGGATCCCCAGAAAAACCTTGGCTTTTCCACTGGATCTGTTGATTTTGGGATCGAAAAAGCGAACCGACGTGACCAAGCGCCTGCGCCGAAGTGCACCGACCAATGAGTGTTGACCCTGCTGTGCTTGTTGTTTTATGATGTTATTTATTATATTTATTTATCCGTTGAAAAGTGGTGACATAGTGAGGGGAGAATTTTAAATCCAATTTTGAAATCATCCATCAGGATTTCTCCACGTCATAAAAGAATGACCACCCAAAGGGCTTGGAATATTCATGTGGTTTTGTCAATGTTTTTCCTATCTGTACATAACTGCATGTGCGTGCTTTGGCTCCGTATGGCTGCAGGTCAGGTTGAGTACAGGTAGATCCAATGAAGGACAGAACAAAGGGATGCAAGAACTTCTCTGAAAGATGCCATTTCCAATTGGAACATCAGTTTCAGCCGAGCAAAAAAATGCGAGGTTCCATGTTTGTTTTCGGCTGGAACACATGACATAATGAAAAGGTACGTGTGACATAACTGTTTTGTTTTCATCGCTAATTGCGGATACCCCAAATACCAGGATCATTCCACGCATCCGAACTGCTTGGATCCCAACGCCGGTGATCGAGGGACTGTCCCATAAATTGTGGCTCCCATTTGTTGGGGAAAAACTCATATTCCTTACATCACTAATCCCTTCCTGAATATGAAAAATACCTTCCCAGTCTTAGCATTTTTTGAGGGGATCACAGTGGACTCCTGTGGAGGTTTCCCCAAGATCCCCTGACCCTGTGCCACCTGAGATGGAGGTCATTCGTCCCTTCTTTTGAACACGTCGGGTGCGTCGACTGCTCAGGTACCAAAAAGTTTAGATACCATGGGTCCATGGGAGACTGATGATTTGCCCAAAGGATCTAAATTTCATTTGGTAGCATGGTACCCTCTGGTTATTTAACATAGCCATGGAAAATGGCCCATTGAAATAGATGATTTTCCCATTAAAACCTCCATTTATAAGGGATTTTCCATGGCAAACTGTTAAATAACCAAATGGTAATTTCCAACTTTGGATCAAAAACACTTGCCACTCATAGTCCATTGATCCAATCTGCTCCAACTCTTTGATACCTGGCGGACTGAGAATTTTTCTCGCTACGAGATCAGTTCTATCATCTCATCATCGGGCTTGAAAATGTAGTTGTCATGAAGGTTCTCGTCCTCCTCGGAAGCAGCTGCCGACTTTCCCTGTTTTTTTTGGGAAAAAACGGGGACCAGGGAAGATCTACAGGGTATGACGTGTATGACGTGCATTTTGATGTAGATTTTGGATTCGAAAACTCCTGGGGTTTCTTGGAGTGAGATTGTCCAGGAATTTTTTCAACATCTAGAGCTCGGTGGTTTTGCTATCGTGCAACCCCGCAGCCAATTCATAGTCCACAGAAGACCTCCTTGGAAATGGCATCAATGGTCCCAGTCAGACGTGGGGGTGGAACATACTTTTATAGCTATCACCATTGGTGAAATAAGCCCTTAAAAAGCTGGGATATGACACTCCCCGAGAAAACTATGGTTAAAGAAATCGATTTCCAACTGGAAGTGCGCTTCCATGGCTACCATGGCAATTTCATCACATTGTGGGCTCAGCGAAGATGGGGATTAGGGGCCATCCAAATTCTGGCTCCTTTTCCCAACTTATTGGGCAAACATTTCACCATGGTGATAGCCAATAGACACAATTTCATGGTGGTGAAAGAACTTGGGCCATAGCCAGATGGATAATTTCGCTTTTGAGGGAGGGACTATGGAGATACAGTAGGAATCTACCACCGTTTCCACTTGTGAAAGCCATCGGTCACAACATGGATATAACACGAATACAAACGGGATATCTTAAATAGTGGGAACTCATACTTTTTCATTGAATATTAACATTAATAATAACATTAATATTAACCATACTTTTTGAATATGAAACTCTTCAGATATTAACGGGATCTCTATATATACATCGAGACACTTTTGACCAATAGCTTGGATGATGGCAGGAACCCTGCTTGAAAGAACCACTAATTGCTGGCTGCTGGCAAAATCTCGGATGAATAAACGTTTTTTCGAAGTGAACACCATCTGAACCCTGGTTTTCTGAGAAAAGATCAATCAGTGGCCATCAAACAGGAACAAAATTTTTTAGGGGATATCCCCACAATTCATATGGCCAGAAATATGGTACTAACGTACCTCCATCTGTTGGATCCTGAAATTACCACATTGCAAAAAATCCCTGGATTTCATGACAATCATGGAAAGAACGTCCAAAAATGGCTGAAATCAGACGATGGATGGGGCCCCCAGTCGAGTTCGCGTGAACCGTTGCCTTAAAGTGGCTGAATTCCATGGTTTATGGAGTTTATGGTAGATATAACGAACTAGTTAGTGGGGGTTATATTAGTTTATAAACCAACAAACATCACTAGGGGTCCCATCCTGTATGAAAAAGCCACCTTTTATTGGCGAAATTTGAACTCCGCCATTTCAGCACGCCTCGGTGAAGCGTGAAGGCACCCACACCTTGGCAATGCAGAATTGATACAGAATATTATGGCATATATACAGAACATGTAAGAATATAGAAGCTATCTATCTATATATATATATGTATAGAATACGTATATATATATATTATATTATATATTGATTATCCAGAAGACATGAGTTTATACACGTACATAAAACATTCATAGTAATTCTCCAACAATACAGAATTAAAAGTAATCATGCGGCCAAGCGAAGATCGGGTAGATAACTCAGAAAATCAGCAACGTCGAATTCTTATCTATCGCAAAAACTATGGTAACTATGGGGATACTTTCATTGGTAGTTCACAATAGATAAGTGAAGTATTCAAATACCCTGTTTTCCCATCTCATTCTGCTAGTTGGTAGGTTTTCTCCCTTGGTTTAGTTCATAATCCCCTGCCAGGTAGTATGAAGTCCGTATTTACCAATCAACCATCAACCAATCATCATTTAGTCATATCTGCAATTGTTGGTTGTTCACACATGTTAATTTCCACATTTCATCAATGGCCATTGAAATGGTACCTAAATTGGAGGTACCTGAAATGGGCCATATCTTAGGGGAGTTGTCCCCAACATGGCGTATTATAAAGATACAGCAGGTAGCTCTATTTTCGGGTCCTGCAATTTCCATTGACTTCATAAGCAACCAACAGTTGGCTACTGACTGTTCATGGCTCAGTCGTGGTTCCTCTCGTCTCCATCGCTGGGTTCTCCCTGCGAAGAGGGGTAGCTTGCTCTTTGGCAAGGCCTAGGACGATGAACGACGAGTCGATGGGGATCTATTCCTAGTGATGGCTATCAGTGTGGAGAACATGTCAAGATGAAGCATTGAACTTGTCATGGGTGTTCATTTCTTCATATTTGCAATTGGGATACATAAACATGCTGATTATCATGATCACATGGATGTCATTGAACGATGAAACATAAAACTTGGGGATACCCGGGATACATCAGGGAAGTCCAGACATATTTCTCCATGGCCTAAAGCTCAGCGAAGCTAAGCTAAGGGACGACCCTTATGTGGCTTTCCTGCTTCATGATGGGTGCTCCAAAAATGGGGGTTTCTAAAATGGAGGTACCTCCAAATGGATGGTTTACTTCATGGAAAATCGGAAAATAAAATGGATGATGACTGGGGGTACCTCCATGACTTAGGAAACCTCCATATAGCTGTACCATTGATGGATATCATGTCTATTGGGCAACAATTGAAGCCTTTAAAAGGCTGACACGACATCACGACCCGCGGGAAAGGCGCTGATTTTCAATCGGTCTGATTATCTGATTCCAAGAGATGATCATTCTTGAAGTTCTGGTGGGAAACATGGGTATATGTATGATTTATGTATGTACCATCTGGTTATTTAACATTTTAATAGGTAAACCATCTATAAATGGACCATTTTAATGGTGGTTTAATGGTGGTTTAATGGGATTTACCACCTGGTTGTGACTAACAGTTTGCCATGGAAAGATCCACCCATTTTTATGTTCGGTAAACCATCTATTCCTATGGACCATTTTCCATGGCTATGTTAAATAACCAGAGGGTATATGTCTTAAACTTACAATAGCCCTGGACACGCAACCATCACCGACAATGCCATCGCCTCCTGTAGGTCTTTCAACTCACAAATGACCTGTGCGTTGAGTCACTGGACCCCCTTTTTTCGTCAGTGCCAGTTGGGTGTCAACATGTAACATGGGGTCTACATGTATACATCGATACACTACGATGGACAAGAACACGATTTTGATAGGGAAAATATGATGATTCACAAGATTTGGAGGCACCCTACGAACAAAGCCAGTTTGTAGAAGCCCATTTTCCAGCGATTTTTTTCATCGTCCAATGCCCAGGATTTTTATGAATCCGCATGAATCATGAAGCAAATCAGGAAATATGCACTGATTCTCTGCCGCATACTATGACTGGTTGCTGGTTGAGCCTACCCCTCTGAAAAATATGAAAGCCAGTTGGGATGATGACATTCCCAACTGAATGGAAAAACAAAAAATGTTCCAAAACAACAAACAAGATGAACATGTCCTCCATCCAGCGCCAGCGCCCTGCTCTACGATTCCAGAAGCGCAACTCTCGCTTCTTTGCCCCGCTTCTTTGCCCGACTTTTTCATAAAAGGCCGTAGCACCAATCGAGAAGACCAATCGCTGACAAGATCCAGTCGACACAATTTTCATGTGAGAAATTGAGAAATGGATTACAAGGTTCATGATTTTGGACATCCATAAAAATGAGTGGTAACATGTGGTAACTGTAAGTCCTTCCCATAAAAAATCTCAGCCCTTGGCGCCGTTTGTGTCGCCGGCTTGGACTCTTTGCGACCATGATGCCACATGAGAATGACTTACAGTTACCACCAATTTTTATGGATTTTAATCATGTTGAACTACACAACATAACTAATTGTAGCGGTTTCATTGGCCATGGAGCCATAGCCAGCTCCCAGCATGAACAATGGGGGAAGCATCGAGCAACGTTCAGCCAGGGAGAGGTTGGTTGCCCAAATAACTCTGTTTGAAGATGAAGTATA